GGAGGTGACGTCACGTTCAAGAGCGCGGGGGACGGGGGGAGGGGGGTGACATCCTTGGCGACATGACGTCACTAGCGAGGTACACCTCCCCTGGTGTTTCACGCGGATGACGTAATGCTGAGTGGTGACGTCACAGAGCGGGGTTGGAGTTTAAGTTGATTTAGATCCATTTTCATTGCTCCATCTCTTGAACAGAGACCCCTTGGGTGTGTGAGCTCAGCAACTACAACGTGGACATTATTATGTGTGCGCAGTGTGTGTGTGTACACTGTGTGTGTACACAGTGTGTGTACACAGTGTGTGTGTGTGTGTACACTCTGTGTCTGTACACAGTGTGTGTGTGTACATTGTGTGTGTATACTGTGTGTACATTGCGTGTGTGTGTACACTGTGCGTGTGTACAGTGTGTGTATACACACTGTGTGTGTACACACACACAGTGTGTGTACACACACACAGTGTACAGTGTGTGTGTACATTGTGTGTGTACAGTGTGTGTGTACACTGTGTGTGTGTACACTGTGTGTGTGTACACTGTGTGTACACTGTGTGTGTACACTGTGCGTGTGTACACTGTGTGTGTGCACTGTGTGTGTACACAATGCACACACACCGTGTACACACTGTGTGTACACGGTGTGTGTACATTGTGTACGTACAGTGTGTGTTACATGTACGCACACAATCAGACAAGTATTCATTCTAAATTATTGACAGGCATATGCACAAAATTGAATTAGTGCAGTGAAATATACTGCATCAGATAACATCTTATTCTCTGGTTTTTTCAGTAAACTCATGTAGAACGAAATTTAATAGAAAACGACGTTTCGATTGGAACACAAGCAACCATCGTCAGGTACAACAAGTGAATGAGAAAACAAACATAGTGAACTTAGAAATATAATGCAACACAACACAAGAGTCAGCCAACACAAGTCAACACCCTACCTGGTGGATTACATTCTTCCAAAATTGAATAATTTAGTTTAGATAACATCTTATTAACAAGGAGCTATTTAAAGAATGCACTCTCTACTGAACAGTGGATGTGAAACACACAATTGTGCAATTCAAAACGAGTAGGCCTTTGCATGTTGGCGTCTGGGTCAAAAATGTAGCAAATTCTAAACATTACCTACAAACTCCACAACTGAGATGACAGATCAACCATCGCCCCTGTTGTATCTATGCCCTGTTTTCCGTTATTAATATTAAGAATAATTAAGAAAAAAAATTATTTTTGTTTTTATTATATCTATATATATATTTTTTTTAATAATGAGGACGGCTCACTTCTCCTCACGGGCACACCGGGAGTCCATGAGACATGGAGGGCGGTTGAAATGATAGGAATTCGGTCACGAAGAGGTCATAGACATTCAGACGGACAAAAAGATGTATGGACTAAACCTCCCAAGACATCTGGAGATGTACAGATAAGGTGCAGAGTAAATAACGGTTGAAACTTCGCGTTTTCTTAACGTTTTCCGCACCGAAAAGTAGAAACTTAACAAAGATAATTAACCAACAAACAATAATATTTTTACTATTATTATATGTTTCCTACTTACACGACCTTCCAAAAAAACTAAAGAGTACGAATTCCAGAAAGCTTAAGTGCATGTGCACTTAACCTCAGGACATAAAAAAATTAACTCAGAATAAAACACCAATCTCTGGAGAACTAAACTTGGCGAAGCCCAAAATAATAATGTGACGAGGATCATGGCGAATATTCATTAAACATAGACGAATGATAACCCCGATACCAAGACCGAAGGAACTCATAAAATATAATTCAAGAATAAATGTAACACACAGGACCACATACATGTATTGCAAACATCTCCTCGACCACCTTTGTCTTCCAGCGGGGTCTGACCTCAGAATGACCCACCCAGGGTAAGCAAGGAGGGAGCAAAAAGGTCACAAAGGGGGGGGGGTTTGTGCTGACATTGGTTGTTTTCTCTCGCAAGAGACGCGGAAAGAGGAGTGGATGCTCGCGTGTTTGAGTTAAGCACGGCCGTCTTTGTCTCCCCGCAGCACAAACAGATGGCCCATGAATACTTGGAGGGTTAGGAAGGTCACGAGGAGGGGACGCGGTGATGTCTGCTTATTCTCGCACTGTTTTAGGTTGTTTGTCTCTCGCAAAAGAAAGAGGAGGGTGATCGCGTTTTGAGCACAAACAGCAAGATTTGCACACGCAAGCAAAATAACATTCCCCACCCCTCCTCCCAGAATGGTTACACCGCTGGGTCTTTACTAATAAACACGCACACGACACACGAAACACACGAACGCAGATGTGTTCAACCCACAGAAAGATATATGACGGCCTTCAAACAACTCGGGAAGATTGAGTGGATTTTCTGAATATAAGCCGGGGAAAAATCCATTCAACTCAGATCGTCAGGGGCTCTGGCCCCCATCACAGATCTCCAGGGCTTCGGCTCCATCTCTTCTCGTCGCCGCCAACGAAGAAGCTTTTCGTCATCCAGAAGGACGAGGTTCGCGCGGTGCCGAGGCATCGCCTATCGCATACGAGTGTACGAGCCCAGCTCCCTTGCCGTGTCACCACGCCGAGGTGCATCGCCTGCCGCACACGAGTGTACGAGCCCAGCTCTCTTGCCGTGTCACCACGCCGAGGTGCATCGCCTGACCACGCAAACGAGCGTGGCCGCGCCGTCAGTCATCGTACGGGGTCAGCCGAGGGAGGAGTCGGAAAGCGAGCCGCTCACCCTCTCACCGCAGCTGCGCAAGCCAGAGGGTCCTTCTCCGAAAGTCGTTCGTACCCACAACTTTCCCCACCAATAGACCCACGCACGCATCGACGCCCCACTCACCTGTGAGACTATCCCATCTAGTTCACCCTTACCATCGTATCAACCCTAGTCAATTATCAGAAGACTGATTATCAACTACATGAACCATCAGCTGGCCATGAGGAATCGCGGCCCATCGAGTGATTAAGAGTCCGTCGGTTATAAGAGTGAGGTTATTCTCCTTGCCTTTTTCTTTTGTCCCGTTCATCGCATAGGCGATCAATAGATTCGTCGAGGCAAACTCAAACTCTCGGAATCCTCATTACGAATCGACCCATATATATATAGAGAGAATATCTTGTCAAATCGGTTTTCTTTGTCAGAGAATCTCGCTGAGGAATTAGCGAGAGCCGATATTCCCTCTCACCACACGCATCCACCCACCCTGGTCTCAAACATTTCGTTAAAAAGGATTTTAGACTTGCCGATGAATCTATTGACATATACTTTCGCCTCTGGGATACAATAAGTGCTTTTTATTACCGCCATATGAAGTGTGTCATGCTTGTTATCAAACTCGGCCAGTCGCCGATTGTGATCGATACATGGGTGAACTAATGAAATGCCTGGTGGAAAGGTAGAGGTTACGACTGTTAGGAGGGTTTTGAGTTATTCAATTTAGTTAAATACATAGTCTCGCAAATGCATAAGTGTTTGGTTATTCATATTAATCGAATGTATAGTCTCGCAAATGCATAAGAGTTTATTCATTCATTTTAGTCAAATGCATAATATCGTAATTGCATAAGAATTTTAGTTATCCATATTAATCGAATGCATAATATCGCAAATGTATAAGAGTTTGGTTATTCATGAATTATTGACGCATGTTTGACCTGCATGATAGAATGTCACATGCTTGTTAGAATAAATTGCTTCACACCAACTGTTCGAGTGCTTCTTTCCAAGTCCATGCAAAACTGTCTTATTCTTGACAACTGTATCCTGTGATGAGATCTGAAACTGGTGACCTGAAATATCATAACACACACTAAGATAATCGGTAAACGTTTAATCGATGATAATCGTGTTATCCTGATTGATATAACTCTGGATAAACGAAGCTGAGCCTAATTATCACAACTGCACACATTAACATAACCGCAAGCCTCCGCATAAATTACTACGATTATCATAATTTATGCATATAAATTACACGCATTATCATAATTTATGCATGTTAATACACACACTATCATAATTAATGCAATTTGCGCATTTTTCGGAAAATTATTAATTTTTATTATTTTTATCAAAATTTCATAACCCGACACATACAACACCATGACAATGCCTGCTTCTGTATATTTGGAGTTTGCGTGTCTCTCTCATCATCACGGTGGCTATGAGATGTTAACTACCTCGCCGGGTGTACAGGAGGTCGTGAGTTCCATCCCGACAGGCTAAAATAACCCCTGCCCCGATTAAACCCGGGTATAGTTTGGCCCAGTCCAGAGTATACCCGGGGGGGGGGGGGGGGGATGAAGTCTCCAAGGCTAAACTAGACCCCCCGGGGGTTTAAACTCGACTGGGCCAGACCATACCGCTCCAGGCCAGACTCTGCCCATGTGAAAGTTCAAAGGCAATTATCCAGACAGAGAACAGGCGACAACGAACTGCAATCGATATCTAAAACGCGTACGCGTGGAAGTAAGAATCTAAATTTGATCAATTGAAGCATTTTTAGGGTTCAGGGGTTATTATTAAAGTTTTTTTCTGGTTGAAGCAGTCAAAGTCGATGTGTTTACAGTTTAAAATAAAATGTTGGAAAAATTTAGTAATTCACGTGTATATCGCTCAACGCCATTACTATCACGGGGGTATGATTTGGCCTAGAGGGGCATCATTTGGCCTAGGCCATAATATACCCGGCTATAATCTAGCCTAGGCCGTTTAGACCCCGGGTATACTACACCTGTGGGTATACTACGGCCTGTGGGTATACTACGGCATTTGGGTATACTCCGGCCTCTTACACCGGGTAAAGTCTCGTAATTGGAATGACCATTGTCAGCCGTGATTGATCTACGGCTGAATGAAAGCCTCCCCAGCTATCGTCATCTCTCAAGATCCCAACACAGGATTATGTCACGTTGACAAAAGACAAATAGTTCACTGCAGTCACGAAAGCTTTCAATCAAAAGATGCACACATTTATTTAAAAGCAAACGGGCATGTGTGGATACTACCCTTTGACCTGTATCACAAGAACAACGGGTCTCACCTGAGTGATCTGTACAGGTTACTTCCAAAAACACAAACTTTGTCCTAACATCACTTATTCAATGTTTGACCCTTATAAATAAAATGTTGCATGTACACAAAATCAGTGTTCATTCTAAATTATTGACAGACATTTTCCATTTTAACAAAATGTAATTACTGCAGTGAAATATACTGCACCAGGTTAAGCTATTTCAAATAATTATGCACCGTCTGCTTAACAGTGGATGTAAAACATACTATTGTGTCATTCAAAACGAGTAGGCCATTGCATGCTTGCGTCTCGAGTCAAAATGTAGCAAATTCTCAACATTACCGACAAATTACACAACTGAGATGAAACATCATCGCCCCCTACTGACAGGCTCTTGTTCACACACTCTTTGGTTCTTTCAGTAAAGTCATGTCAGTAGCAAAAATAATAGTAGATCAGGAAGTTTAGATCGTAACACAGGGATCTACCCAACCCACAGGGAACACAAAGACTGGCCGCTCACTCTTACTCTGCAGGTTGAACCCAGGAACTGAGTGTTCAACTTCACATTATTTTCATTAAAGGCCCGTGACAAAGGAGCATCTATTGGAGCGACGTCTCAAGCTGACACATCTACCGGGTCTCCCTTTGACTTTGTGTTTTCTAAGAAGTTCATCCACACCTCCACCTCCACAAACTGCTGGGAGTTGCCTCACTCTGCCTCACAGTCAGAATTCCCCTCCTGCTTCACGTTGCCTCCATCAATGTGAAGGTCCCATTTTGCAGTATAATCTTCATCTTCACATTTTACCATCACTTCTTCACTCTTCACCATCACTTCTTTGCTCTTCACCATCACCTCTTCACATTTCACCTCGATACCTTTAAGTGTCCAAGCTGGGATTTTCCTCCAGTTATTGTTTGATGAGGGATGGGCTCATTGCGGCACTTTGACTTTCACAAGCTGATTTCAGACTCCACTCCTTGCAGATCTTCTGATGCTTGTGTGTTCTCTGGTGTACATGAAGATTTGATGACCGTGCAAACGCCTTCCCGCCAAGTGCACCTGAAGGGTTTCTCTCCTGTGTGTGTTCTCTGGTGTCTTACAAGAGTAGTTGAATGTACAAACGCTTTCCCACACACACGGCACTTGAAGTGTTTCTCTCCCGTGTGCGTTCTCTCGTGTCTTTGAAGATGTTCTGACCGTGTAAACGCCTTACCGCAAAGAAAGCACCTGAAGGGTTTCTCTCCCGTGTGTGTTCTCTTGTGATTTTTAAGAGCAGATGACTGTGAAAATGCCTTGCTACACACAGTGCACTTGAAGAGTTTCTCTCCTGTGTGTGTTCTCTGATGATTTTTAAGAGTAGATGACTGACAAAATGCCTTCCCACACACAGTGCACTTGAAGGGTTTCTCTCCTGTGTGTGTTCTCTGGTGGGCCTGAACAACGGATGCTTGTGCAAACGCCTTCCCGCAAATCGTGCACCTGAAAGGTTTCACTCCAGTGTGTGTTCTCTGGTGTATTACAATATTATGTGACTGTGAAAATGCCTTCCCACACACACTGCACTTGAAGGGTTTCTCTCCCGTGTGTGTTCTCTGGTGTCTTTGAAGAGTTTGTGACTTTGCAAACGTTTTCCCGCACAGAAAGCACCTGAAGGGTTTCTCTCCTGTGTGTGTTCTCTTGTGATTTTCAAGATGATACGACTGTGAAAATGCCATGCTACACACACTGCACTTGAAGGGTTTCTCTCCCGTGTGTGTTCTCTGGTGTTTTTTTAAGAACAGATGACAGTGGAAATGCCTTCCCACACACAGTGCACTTGAAGGGTTTCTCTCCTGTGTGTGTTCTCTGGTGCTGTGTCAAATTTCCAGTGCGATCCGTGCTGTATGCACTCTGGTCGCATTGTTGCCTTGCCGTACCGAGCTGTGCTGACTGCCTTTGCTCCATTAGACCAATTCTGCAGAGGAAGCGTCGAAGGAAGCGTCAGCTGCAGACAGATAATAGGAATGTCCACACCATTCTAGATTTGAAGCTTTCGTGACTGCAAGGATTCATATTCTTAGGTTTTTTCGGTAAAGTCACGTATGTAAAAAAATTAAATTAAAGTAAAAATAAACAAAAAAAAAAATTGACGTTTCGGAAGCAACACAAGCCTCCGTCTTCAGGTGGAACCGTCACAGCCACGACAGCTGTATCAAGTAAAAAAAGAAAATACAAAAAAAATACAGCTGTCGTGGCTGTGACGTTTCCACCTGAAGACGGAGGCTTGTGTTGCTTCCGAAACGTCGTCAATTTTTTAATTTGTTTTATTTTACTTTTATTAATTAAAATGTTTTACCTACGTGACTTTACCGAAAAAACCTAAGAATATATCCACTCCGGTATCTATGCACAGAAGAACGCATACGTACAGTCACACGTGACTTACACGTCTATACTTATTCATATATTCATTATGTAGTAAAAACGTTTCTCAAATTCATCACACGGGCTGTAATGGCACACAATGAGAGGGCAAGTGGTCATAAATATGCCTGGGAGCCCTCATATCTTAAAAATGAATGTTAACCCAAAACTCCGAGCACACAATTTCGGCTGTCTGGCTACAAAAGGAATATGTATAAAAGCTAAATTCAGCTGACATTGCAAAGGGTGTTAAAACAATTCTATTTGTGTTATGCAGAAATGCATAAATTCATGTTCAATCGCAACTCAGGTGTGAATCCAGGCTCAGATGTCCTTGAAGGCTGGGATGAACAGATCCGACTTTCAGCTGCACGTGTGTGCTGTGTTAACTTCCTGTTTCCATTCTTACAAAGAGTTCCAGAGGAAAACAAAAATAAACTATTGTTGTGATATAACCTCTGTGTTCAATAGAGTTAATAGACTTTACTGCAAACACAAACTTGACACTGTCACACACTGGCATGGTTCACAGGTGGTGGTGTGTCCAGACCCATGCCTGGCCACCTTCATCTGCTCAGAATAAATGATTCCTCACTCCACCAAGTAATTAATTGAGGATCAATCAACATAGCCGAGGCTAACTGGAGTTTGCGTGTTTCTCTCTCTACGTGGTGAGATGTTAACTACCTCACCTGGTGTACAGGAAGTCGTGGGTTCGATCCCGGCCCTGGCGCCTGCTGCTGCTGTATATTTGGAGTTTGCGTGTCTCTCTCTCCGTGGTCGCGTGGATTTTCCTCCGGATTCCCCGGGTTTGCCCTCCACATTTAGAGTCAACATCAGTACGCGTTTAGCGTCTTTGACCGATACACATTTCCACACGTATTCTTGGTTCTTTCGGTAAAGTTACGTAGGTAGAAAATATCAATAATAGATAATAAAATTAAATAAAATAAAGACCACTTGTGTTGCGATCGAAACGTTGTGTTTTTTCTCTTTATTTACAATTTTATAATTTTTATTTCATCATCTGTTATTTTTATTAAATTTTCTGTCTAAGTGACTTTACCGAAAGAACCAAGAATATGAATTCCTGCAGTCACGAAAGTTTTAAGTCCACACATTCACACACAAGTTCACAAAGCCTCACCTTGCGTTGTGGGCAGGTAGCTTCTGAGAACAAGAGTGGTAGAGCAGCTCAAGCCGGCTTGGCCTGGTACAAAAAATGAAAAATAGAAACTGCGTGAATATTTACAGTGAGGGAAAAAAGTATTTGATCCCCTGCTGATTTTGTACGTTTGCCCACTGACAAAGAAATGATCAGTCTATAATTTTAATGGTATGTTTATTTGAACAGTGAGAGACAGAATAACAACAACAAAAATCCTGAAAAACGCGTGTCAAAAATGTTATAAATTGATTTGCATTTTAATGAGGGAAATAAGTATTTGATCCCCTCTCAATCAGTAAGATTTCTGGCTCCCAGGTGTCTTTTATACAGGTAACGAGCTGAGATTAGGAGCACACTCTTAAAGGGAGTGCTCCTAATCTTAGCTTGTTACCTTTATAAAAGACACCTGTTCACAGAAGCAATCAATCAATCAGATTCCAAACTCTCCACCATGGCCAAGACCAAAGAGCTCTCCAATGATGGCAGGGACAAGATTGTAGACCTACACATGGCTGGAATGGGCTACAAGACCATCGCCAAGCAGCTTGGTGAGAAGGTGACAACAGTTGGTGCGATTATTCGCAAATAGAAGAAACACACAAGAACTGTCAATCTCCCTCGGCCTGGGGTTCCATGCAAGATCTCACCTCGTGGAGTTGCAATGATCATGAGAACGGTGAGGAATCAGCCCAGAACTACACAAGGCAGCTGGGACCATAGTCACCAAGAAAACAATTGGTAACACACTACGCCGTGAAGGACTGAAATCCTGCAGCGCCCGCAAGGTCCCGCTGCTCAAGAAAGCACATATACATGCCCGTCTGAAGTTTGCCAATGAACATCTGAATGATTTAAAGGACAACTGGGTGAAAGTGTTGTGGTCAGATGAGACCAAAATGGAGCTCTTTGGCATCAACTCAACTCGCCGTGTTTGGAGAAGGAGGAATGCTGCCTATGACCCCAAGAACACCATCCCCACCGTCAAATATGGAGGTGGAAACATTATGCTTTGGGGGTGTTTTTCTGCTAAGGGGACAGGACAACTTCACCGCATCAAAGGGACAATGGACGGGGCCATGTACCGTCAAATCTTGGGTGAGAACCTCCTTCCCTCAGCCAGGGCATTGAAAATGGGTCGTGGATGGGTATTCCAGCATGACAATGACCAAAAAAACACAGCCCAAGGCAACAAAGGAGTGGCTCAAGAAGAAGCACATTAAGGTCCTGGAGTGGCCTAGCCAGTCTCCAGACCTTAATCACATAGACAATCTGTGGAGGGATCTGAAGGTTCGAGTTGCCAAACGTCAGCCTCGAAGCCTTAACGACTTGAAGATCTGCAAAGAGGAGTGGGACAAAATCCCTCCCGAGATGTGTGCAAACCTGGTGGCCAACTACAAGAAACGTCTGACCTCTGTGATTGCCAACAAGGGTTTTGCCACCAAGTACTAAGTCATGTTTTGCAGAGGGGGTCAAATACTTATTTCCCTCATTAAAATGCAAATCAATTCATAACATTTTTGACGCGTCTTTCTGGATTTTGTTGTTATTCTGTCTCTCACTGTTCAAATAAACCTACCATTAAAACTACAGACTGATCATTTCTTTGTCAGCGGGCAAACGTACACAATCAGCAGGGGATCAAATACTTTTTCTTGGTTCTTTCGGTAAAGTCACGTAGAAGGGCAGTAATAAAATAATAAAAATAAAACATAATAAAATGGTATAATAATATAATTATTTTATTGTTTTTCGGTAAAGTCACGTAGAAGGTAAGTAATAAAACAACAAAAAATAAAACAATAAAATAATATAATAGTAATATAAGAATTTTTATGTTTTATTTTTATTATTTTATTATTTCCCTTCTACGTGACTTTACCGAAAGAACCAAGAAGTTGAATCCCTGCAGTCACGAAAGACGCTTTAAATCTAAATTTAGATCAAATACTTGTCCCCTCACTGTAACAATAAAACAGAGTTACAAAGTGGCGAGCCGCGTGAAGACAAACTAAACTAACTCAGGCGAGGGCAGGAGGCAAGGCCCCGCGTGGCCAGGCCGCGCGTTGTAATGTTCCAACGTGGACATCGATTCCAATGCTGCTCAATTGACATCCCTACGAGAGGCTCTACCTTGGTAAACAACAACAACAACCACAACAACAATCACAACAACCACAAGAATTTATCACCTCAGATTTCAGATAAAGCGCGGAGCGGGCAGCTTCCTGTTACCTCGTGACGTCACGCGGCAGCAGAAAGTGACATGACGTCACTTCCGGGATACAAGACACTCCCCTCCCACAGATTCAGCAGTGACCATCGCGGAGGTGACGTCACGCACAAGAGCGCGGTGGAGTGTGACGTCACACAGCTAGATTGGAGTTTAAGTTTTTAGATTAAATTTCCATTGCTCCATCTCTTGAACAGAGACCCCTTGGGTGCGTGAGCTCAGCAACAACAACGTGGACATTATTGTGTGTGTACACTGTGTGTGTGTCTACATTGTGTATACACAGTGTGTGTGTGTACACTGTGTGTGTGTGTACACAGCGTGTGTGTACACAGTGTGTGTGTGTACACTGTGTGTGTACACTGTGTGTACACTATGTGTGTGTACACAGTGAGTGTGTGTGTGCATTGTGTGTGTATACTGTGTGTGTACACAGTGAGTGTGTGTACACTGTGTGTGTGTACACTGTGTGTGTACATTGTGTGTGTATACTGTGTGTGTACATTGTGTGTGCACACTATGTGTGTGTGTACACAGTGAGTGTGTGTGTACATTGTGTGTGTACACTGTGTGTGTGTGTACACAGTGAGTGTGTGTGTACATTGTGTGTGTACACTGTGAGTGTGTGTGTGTACATTGTGTGTATACTGTGTGTGTACATTGTGTGTGTACACTGTGTGTGTGTGTACATTGTGTGTGTACACAGTGAGTGAGTGTACATTGTGTGTGTACACTATGTGTGTGCACACAATATGGTAGCGCATTCTCTATTCATTGCAGAGGTTCAAGGTTCAAATCGGACAGGCACAGCTGGCTACCCCAGTGACATTCACCAAAATATGCGCAGTCTGCTTCACGGCGGATGTAAGACAAGCCACGTGTCACTCACAACGCACAGGTCCATTGCATGTTGGTGTCACGGTCTAAATCGTGCTAATTCCAGACATTGTCCAGACATTATCTAGGTTATTTAATTTAGTGTGTTCTTTCTCCCTCTCTCCTAATGTTCAAACTTGCTTACTTCACTACGCGTTTTCCGCACTCATTGACATGTTAATTTTGTCTCTGCCCCCTCCCTCTCTCTGCCCTCGCCCCCTCTGCCTATTTAAGGCCTCGCCACAGAGACGATCTCCCTCTCTGTGCCTGTGTCTCTCTATGTATCTTGGTGATATCTGTCTGCTCATATGTCTGTCTATAGTTTTTCTGGTTAGAATTTTTTGTTGCTATTTCATTTATACCTGATGATGATTGCTTGTGTTGCAATCGAAACGTCGTGATTTTTATTTTACTTTTATTAATTTTAATTTTTTACCTCCGTGACTTTACCGAAAAAACCTAAGAATATTATCCAGAAACCCCACAACCACCTTGTGCCACACAGGGGCAGCTGCCACTTAGGGGCGCCCTTCGATTGTTTGAGACGAGATTCCATACGAAACACCGAGTTGCTGAGGCAATTAAGCAAGCAACGTATGAATGCAAATGTGATGTTCATAACGTGGTGAATCCATAAGAGGTGTTTTGGGTTTGATCGCAAAAATATATAAATGTGTCGTTCAAATCTGCCACCACCAACTAGTAAGGGTTGTCACGTAAACAGAACGTGCCAATTCGTCACTAGCACAGCACTAGTGTGTAGTGTAGTGTATAATGTAGTGTATAGTGTAGTGTATAGTGTAGTGTATAGTGTAGTGTATAGTGTATAGTGTAGTGTATAGTGTAGTGTATAGTAGTGTATAGTGTAGTGTATAGTGTAGTGTATAGTGTATAGTGTAGTGTATAGTGTAGTGTATAGTAGTGTATAGTGTAGTGTATAGTGTAGTGTATAGTGTATAGTGTAGTGTATAGTGTAGTGTATAGTGTATAGTGTAGTGTATAGTGTAGTGTATAGTAGTGTATAGTGTAGTGTATAGTGTAGTGTATAGTGTATAGTGTAGTGTATAGTGTAGTGTATAGTGTAGTGTATAGTGTAGTGTATAGTGTAGTGTATAGTGTAGTGTGTAGTGTATAGTGTAGTGTATAGTAGTGTATAATGTAGTGTAGTGTGTAGTGTATAAATAAGTCTTCCCGTTACAGAAGATGTCTTCCCGTTACAGATGTACAGAGGCACAGACACGGAGACAGTTTCAGTTTAAAGTTTCATTTATTTTGAGGTATAACCACGTGACCCATGCGGCAACAAACAAAAAACACGAAGAAATAAAATTCTTAAAATGACGACGCGCAACAGAAACATCCAGGAGAAAAAAAACTTCCCCGATATCAAGCAGCGCATATCAAACAATGACAACCATAATACAATGTACATTACAGTTATCATACACAAAGACAGACACACACGCAGAGAGAGAGATGGCTTAGCGAAGTGGCTTATCATCATAGGGACAGACCCAGCAGGTGCCGTGGGTTGACTGCTGTGCCAGGCTAGGTGCATGAGAAAGTCACGGGACAGACCCTGCAGGTGCCATGGATTGACTGCTGTGCCAGGCTAGGTGCATGAGAAAGTCAAGGTACAGACCCTGCAGGTGCCATGGGTTGACTGCTGTGCCAGGCTAGATGCATGAAAAAGTCAAGGTACAGACCCTGCAGGTGCCATGGGTTGACTGCTGTGCCAGGCTGGGTGCATGAGGAGGTCACGGGACAGACCCAGCAGGTGCCGTGGGTTGACTGCTGTGCCAGGCTAGGTGCATGAGAAAGTCACGGGACAGACCCTGCAGGTGCCATGGATTGACTGCTGTGCCAGGCTAGGTGCATGAGAAAGTCAAGGTACAGACCCTGCAGGTGCCATGGGTTGACTGCTGTGCCAGGCTAGATGCATGAAAAAGTCAAGGTACAGACCCTGCAGGTGCCATGGGTTGACTGCTGTGCCAGGCTGGGTGCATGAGGAGGTCACGGGACAGACCCAGCAGGTGCCGTGGGTTGACTGCTGTGCCAGGCTAGGTGCAGGAGGAGGTCACGGGACAGACCCAGCAGGTGCCGTGCTGTGCCAGGCTAGGTGCATGAGGAAGTCACGGGACAGACCCAGCAGGTGCCGTGGGTTGACTGCTGTGCCAGGCTAGGTGCATGAGGAGGAAGTCACGGGACAAACCCTGCAGGTGCCATGGGTTAACTGCTGTGCCAGGCTAGGTGCATGAGGAGGAAGTCACGGGACAGACCCTGCAGGTGCCGTGGGTTGACTGCTGTGCCATGCTAGGTGCATGAGCAAGTCACGGGAATGACCCAGCAGGTGCCATGAGTTGACTGCTGTTCCAGGATAGGTGCATGGGTCTGTGTGGTGAGTCTATGGATCTCTGTGTGGTAAGTCTATGGGTCTCTGTGTGGTGAGTCTATGGGTGTCTGTGTGGTGAGTCTGAGGGTCTCTGTGTGGTGAGTCTGTGGGTCTCTACGTGGTGAGTCTATGGGTCTTTGTGTGGTGAGTCTATGGGTATTTGTGTGGTGAGTCTATGGGTCTCTGTGTAGTGAGTCTATGGATCTCTGTATAGTGAGTCTATGGGTCTTTGTGTGGTGAGTCTATGGGTCTCTGTGTGGTGAGTCTGTGGGTCTCTGTGTGGTGAGTTTATGGGTCTCTGTGTGGTGAGTCTATGGATCTCTGTGTAGTGAGTCTATGGGTCTCTGTGTGGTGAGGCTGTGGGTCTCTGTGTAGTGGGTCTATGGATCTCTGTGTAGTGAGTCTATGGGTCTTTGTGTGATGAGTCTATGGGTCTCTGTGTGGTGAGTCTGTGGGTCTCTGTGTGGTGAGTCTATGGATCTCTGTGTGGTGAGTCTATGGATCTCTGTGTAGTGAGTCTATGGATCTCTGTGTAGTGAGTCTATGGGTCTTTGTGTGATGAGTCTATGGGTCTTTGTGTGGTGAGTCTGTGGGTCTCTGTGTGGTGAGTTTATGGGTCTCTGTGTGGTTAGTCTATGGGTCTCTGTGTAGTGAGTCTATGGATCTGTGTAGTGAGTCTATGGATCTCTGTGTAGTGAGTCTATGGGTCTCTGTGTAGTGAGTCTATGGGTCTCTGTGTAGTGAGTCTATGGGTCTCTGTGTAGTGAGTCTATGGGTCTCTGTGTGGTGAGTCTATGGGTCTCTGTGTAGTGAGTCTATGGATCTCTGTGTAGTGAGTCTATGGGTCTTTGTGTGGTGAGTCTATGGGTCTCTGTGTAGTGAGTCTATGGGTCTCTGTGTAGTGAGTCTATGGGTCTCTGTGTAGTGAGTCTATGGGTCTCTGTGTGGTGAGTCTATGGGTCTCTGTGTAGTGAGTCTATGGCTCTCTGTGTAGTGAGTCTATGGGTCTTTGTGTGGTGAGTCTATGGGTCTCTGTGTAGTGAGTCTGTGGGTCTCCACACCCTGGTCACGACAATATTTCGGGAAGCGTTCGAGTTTTCTCGTTTGGCTGTTGCTGTTGTTGTTGCTGTTGTTGTTGTTGCTGTTGTTGTTCCCAGTGAACGGATGAGGACAGAGCGCCTATCCAGAGTTTGAGATCCTGCGAATGGGAGAGAACGTCTCTGCTGAGCACAGGTACCGCACCACGGCAACTACACACACGTAGTAGGTGTTTACCCTTTATACTGGTACAAAAACTGACACCTTTATACAAGGCATCATGTTTGCAATAACCACAACACAAGCAGTCAAAATGCAAACAAATAGAAACAACTCTTTTGTGTTTTATCTCTCTCTCAAATTTAGCATTCTCAGGAAGAACGTAATCAACCAGGTGGGGTGTTGACTGTTATGTTATACTGGTAGGAACAAAGTGGACCAGCCTACAATAGATTATATCGTACGTCCGTTTTTCCGTCCGTCCGTCCGTGTAGCAACATCGCCCCCTACTGCAAACACTTGGCATGACCCTACAAAAACCTTTACTCAGTGACGCTTTCCTGGCTAAACAAGTGTAACATTCCCTTATAATTCCCTCAGATAGCTTTTAATTAAAACATTTCAATTAATGAGGCTTTCCTGGCTAAACAAGTGTAACATTCCCTTATAATTCCCTGAGATAGCTTTTAATTAAAACTT